GGTGATAGCTGGGCACCATCTAGCTGTACTGGACTCAGTCCGGTGAAGGTCTTGGTAGCCGTGGACAATTAGTCCTTTGGACTAATCTTTTCGTTGTATCCTGTTCTCTTCATTCTCCCTTGCTCCCGAAGAGATGAGACCAGTGGAGTATCTTAGATGCTCAGGCCCAATCTTTTATATACCGCTTAGATTTAATGATGGGGGTCCTGGTGGCACAGTGATTAAGTGTTTGGCTGCTAACTAAAAGGTCGGCAGTTCAAATCCATCAGCCACTCCTTGGAAACCCTACGGGGGGCAGCTCTACTCTGTCCTGTAGGGTCGCTGTATGTTGGAATTGACTCAATGGCAGCAGGTTTTTTTTTTTATTTAATGATGGAGTGCTGCTGTGCACATCCGATTTTATGACTCTGGGTCAGACGATAACCCAGTTCATGATGGCGGCTCAGGCCACATGGTGATTTGGAGGCCCATGGGTAAGTGTTCAGCGTTTACTAAGGTCCAATAACAAGCCAAAAGCAGTTTCTCAAAAGGAGAATAGTTATCTGCAGAGGATGGCAGGGCTTTGTTCCAAAATCCTAAGGATCTGCACTGTGATTTACCATAGGGGCCTGCCAAAGACTGCAAACAGCATCTGTATCTGTAACTGACACTTCAAGCACCATTGGATCAGTTGGTTCATCTGGCCCAATGGGTAGAACGGCTTGCATGGCAGTGTGAACGTGTTGCAGAACCTTCTCTTGTTCTGGGCCCCACTCAAAACTAGCAGCTTTTTGAGTCACTTGATAAATAGGCCAGAGTAGCACACCCAAATGAGGGATATGTTGCCTCCAAAATCCAAAGTGGCCCACTAGGCATTGTGCTTCCTTTTTAGTTATGGAGGGGCCAGATGCAATAACTTATCCTTCACTTTAAAAGGAATATCTCTATATTCCCCACACCACTGGACCCTAGAAATTTCACTGAGGTGGAAAGTGCATGAATTTTTGTCGGATTAATTTCCCACCCTCTAACATGCAGATGTTTTACCAATAAGTCCAGAGTCATTGACACTTCTTCCTTACTATGTCCAATCAGAATAATGTAATCAATGTAATGGACCAATGTGACGTTTTGTGGAAGGGAAAGGCGATCAAAGTCCCTGTGGAGTAAATGATGACATAGGGCTGGAGAGTTGATATACCCCTGAGGTAGGATGCTGAAGGTGTATTGCTGGCCTTATTAGCTGAAGGCAAACAGCTTCTGGCTACGTATTTCAAAATAGGTATGGAGAAAAAGGCATTAGATCAATAGCTGCATACCGGCTACCAGGAGATATATTAATTTGCTCAAGTAATGAAACCACATCTGGAACAGCAGCTGCAATTAGAGTCACCACCTGGTTAAGTTTCTGATAATCCTCTGTCACTCTCCAAGATCCATCTGTTTTTATCATAGGCCAAATAGGCAGGTTGAATGGGGATGTGATTGGAATCACCACCCCTGCATCCTTCAAGTCCTTGATTGTGGCAGTAACCTCTGTAATCCCTGCAGGAACATGGTATTGCTTTTGGTTTACTATTTTCCTAGGTAGGGGCAGTTCTAATGGCTTCTATTTGGCTTTTACTACCATAATAGACCTTACTCCACATGTCGGGGATTCAATGTGTGGGTTCTGCCAGTTGCTGAGTATGTCTATTCCAGTTATGCATTCTGGAACTTGGGAAATCACTATAAGATGGGTTCAGGGAACCACTGGACCCAATGTGAGATGGACATGAGTTAAGACTCCATTAATAACCTGATCTCCATATGCCCCCACTCTGACGGGTGGGCCACACTGACATTTTGGGTCTCCTGGAATTATTGTCAGTTCAGAGCCAGTGTCCCATAATCCCTGAAAAGTCTGATTATTTCCTTTCCTCCAATCAACAGTCACTGTCATAAAAGGCTGTAGATCCCTTTGGGGAAGGCTAGGAGAAAGATTAACAATACAAATTTTTGGAAGTGCAGTGGGGTCTTTCCTCAAGGCGACCCAGCCTCTTCTTCATTCAAGGGGTTGTGAGTCTGTAAACTAGCTCGTGTCTGGGAATTGATTGAGGGCCATGACGCCCTATTCTGGCTATTCAAATTAGACTGCCCTTCACTTGACCTAGAATTCTTCAACTTGTACAGATCAAGTAAATATTTAGTAGATTTCCAATCTGTTTCACTCCTAGGGACACCATGGTTAAGTAGCCAATGCTGTAAGTCCATACAGTCAGACTATTCTGATTACTGCTTTGACTCCGCTGTCCGTTATGGTAACCACACCCACCTTGTCTTTGTTGATTGAGTGCTGCCACCTGGCCCCTACCACCATGGGGGTCCAATCAGGCCTATTGTAGTTAGGTGTCTTAATTCAGTTAGGGCAGCTCCCACTATCAAATATGACTTACATAAAATAGCAATCACAGCAGTCTTCAAGGATGCTGGGGCTCCCTTCACAAATTTGTTCCTCACTGTTGTGGTAAAAGATGTGTCCTCTAAGCACTCCATGTGTGAGTCTATAGGTATAACCTGATAAATCCACTCTAACATGCCAATTTCCCTAAGCCTTTGGATCCTTCTTCTACAGCATACCAAGGCAGGTCTGGTACTTCAGCTTGATTTAGTGAAGGCCGGCGTGTAATCCATGCTTCAGTGAACCAACCAAATAAGCTATTAGATCCTTTCCTAACCTCTTGAGCTGAAACATTGAGTGAAGAATCTGTGCTTAGTGGGCCCATATCAATAAACTCAGATTGATCCAACTTTATGCTCCTTGCACCAATATCCCACCCCCTTAATAGCATTCCCACATCTGTTCCTCAGGTTTCTGTTTATACATATTATAAAGTCAAGAAGTTCTTTTGGAGTGTAGCATACCTCCTTCTGGGTCACATTTTGTACTTTACCTTTGGGGCTTGCTTGGGACTTAAGTCTAGTTATAGGTGTAGAAGAAAAATGGTGGTGTGGATGTGTTCTGAGAACATTCAGCAATGTCTTCTAAGGCATCTGCCTCAGTGATGCCCCAGGCAATGACTCAGATGCCTCCCCAGGCGATGGCTCAAAGACTCTTCAGACACAACTGAGTTAATCTCATCAGATGAGGGTGGTGGGGCTAATGGTTTTACTGGGGAGGATAACTTAGAAGACAAAGCTGGAGCAATCTCTTCAGATGGGAGTGAGACGGCTGGTTCTGTTGGCAGGAGTGATTCAACAGAATTTAGGGGCTCAGTGTCCCCAGCTTCCTGATTATCTGCCCACATGTTCCAATCCCAAGTTTCAGGATCCTGTTTCTTCCCAATCAATGCCCTCACTTTAACTTCAGACACCACTCGAGGTTGGGAATTCATCTGGTGTTGTAATTCAGCCACTCTTATGATAACAGTCTGGGTTTTGTTTTCAGCAGTATCAGCTCTGTTACTACAAGAAATAAGTATTTCATTTGGGGCAAAAGTGGCAACTTTGAGGTTGTTTATGCGGTGTTGAGCTGTGACGCTGAAGTCCTGAGCTCATCTCTTTCTTTCACCACTTTGTCTAGTAAAAGTAGGACTGATCAACCAGCTTTCTTATATGTCTCATTCTGACAAAATTGTAGGAAACAGTCAAATATGCAATCACCCAGAGCCTCCCCTCTCACCAATACTTGATCTATTGTTGTTAGGTGCTGTCGAGTCAGTTCCAATTCATAGCGACCCTATGTACAACAGAAACAAACACTGCCTGGTCCCTCACCATCCTCACAATCATTGTTATGCTTGAGACCATTGTTGCAGCAACTGTGTCAGTCCATCTCGTTGAGGGTCTTCTTCTTTTTCACTGACCCTCTAGTTTATCAAGCATGATGTCCTTCTCCAGGGATTGATCCCTCCTGATAACATTTCCAAGGTATGTGAGACATAGTTTCACCATCCTTGCTTCTAAGGAGCATTCTGGCTGTACTTCTTCCAAGACAGGTTTGTTTGTTCTTTTGGCAGTCCATGCTATATTCAATATTCTTCACCAACACCACAATTCAAAGGTGTCAATTCTTCTTTGGTCTTCCTTATTCATTGTACAGCTTTTGCATGCATATGAGGCAATTGAAAACACCATGGCTTGGGTCAGGTGCACCTAAGTCCTTAAAGTGACATCTCTGCTTTTAAACACTTTAAAGAGGTCTTTTGTGGCAGATTTGCCTAATGCAATGCATCATTTGATTCCTTGACTGCTGCTTCCATGGATGTTGATTGTGGATCCAAGTAAAATGAAATTCTTGACAACTTCAATCTTTTCTCCATTTATCATAATGTTGCTTATTGGTCCAGTTGTGAGGA